TTCAGACTTGCCAATTGAGGCTTTTTTTTTTTTTTTTTTTTGGTTGTTTATTTGTTGTAGAACAAAGCCAACATACATGGTTTACAATAACTATATACTACACACCGGGGTTTGCAAAAAAAAAAAAAACTGGAAGGGTGACATACAATATCTATGCACACCCGGAATCCCATAAAGGCTTTTTAAGGAAAAACTCTGTATAGGAGCACAAAGAACATCGAAGAATGAGCCTATACTGCTCAAAGAACCTGCAAAGACGCCATGGTTAAAATACATTCTAAACACATACAGAAAGTTTAGTTCCACTGCTTTTACAAGAACTACTTTTGTACAAAGGGCTTGGATTTAGAATATTGAAATATCACATGATATATATGATATATGATAACTGTTTATGCTGGTTTATATATAGAACTGTTGTAACATAAATGGGGAATTCTAAACAAATAACAAAGGAAAATAATCAGTGTTTATAAGACAGAAATTTAAACTAATCTGAAAGCAATTACAGGCTATAGTATTTCTTCAACTGAATCATATTTGTTCAATTTTCAACGAAATACATATTTATTAAAAGATAATTACATTATTTAAATGCATTTTAATATTTGTATCTTACCTAACCATAGCCTTACAACTGTAATAGTGCTAAGAATCATCCTCTGTTTTCAGCAGGCTGCTAATCTATTCATTCCCACATGGACCACTCACATCTGAAAATGTATACTGAGGAGGTTAACGTGACCAGCTGTTTACAGAACACAGAAATTAGCAGCTGGAAATCAAATGAACACCTGGAAATTAAATTGTGACAATGATAAGAATTAGATTTCGAAGAAAGCATTTTGAAAATTTACTGTACACTGTGTATTTGTTCCTACAATAATTCATGACTCAGACAGAATGCTTCAATGACCTAAAAATATTTACTATATTAATGAGATTAAAAACAACGCACTTAAAAATAATAGAAATTAGTTTCTGTTTTTTTTTTTAGACTGTGCCCTATAACAAGATGAACAAAGTTTGTATGATTTAAAATATATTTTTAGGATTGTTAAATGTTTTCCAGCAGTATACAAGGATATTTTTACTGGCAACATTCCTCCTAAAACATCTTTTCCTTGCAGCTTTTATTTATATGTAGAAGAATGTCTGTCTCATTGATCTAAAGTGTACTGAAGGTACAGAATTCACTGGGCATATCTACCTAGAGAAAAAGAGTAAAGTATACAATATCTATACTCCTGATATAGCACATTACTGCCCTCTACAGGCTAATTTACAGCCATGTACTTGAAGCAGCTGCATTATATATAATATTGTGTACATCACACTCCTCTGGGTCAGACAGACTCTCTGTGGATACAGATGATTTATTCATCTAAAAATTGATATCTGTTGTTTATGTCATGCACACCACATTAAAGCTGACTGAATGAGACACAGAAGTTAAAAAAGTGAAGATGTCTTTGTACTGATGTTTTGAGGACATTATTATAACCACGAAAGTCCAGTATACACGACTGCACAATGATTTATGTAATAACAAGGACATATAAAAACAAGGTATGTTTGTATAGTATAGTTATATATTTCACAAATAAAATGAATGTCACGCCTTTCTGTAAATTTCACACAGACCTTTGCAAGATATGTTTGTCCTTCATGAGTTCCAGAGCTCTTTCCACTACATTAGCACATAGTCAGTCCCAGGTGTGTTTGCTTACAAGTGTTAAGAACTTGATTATGTAAGATGATACAGTTAGGTTAGTGGATCTGGGCCAGCTCTGTTTTGGTGGTAATAGTTATTTTTAGGGGAGAGGGCCAGAGGCCAGTTGCTTCTGGCTGCTGTAGGCTGGAATGTGCTGAGATGAAAGTTGTCCCAACATCCCACCCTCTCCTGCAGCTGCTGCATTCCAGCCGACCGCCGAGCCAATGTGGGAAACCTCCTTCGCTTGTTATAGTAGCAACTGTGGTTGCAGTATTTCTAGTTGATTATTACAGTAATGACAATGAAGCAGTAACAGAGTGCTTAATTGTATTTTTGAATGAAAATAACTGTAAAATAATTAATCTGTGTTCCATGCTTCATGCACAGTGACTTGATTTAGTTTGAAGGCTCTAAACTGGCAGTGAGTGTCGGGGTGGAGACTGCATGAGTTTATTGATCTATTGTGTTATGCATAATGAAAGGTCATAAATAGATGGCACACAGTTTCAAATCCAAGACGCAGCTTAGGTTTCATACCCAGCACCAGCTGTAAAGTTCACCTAGGTCCACCTCACTGGAGCACTTTCAAGAGTTTCTGTCTTACCCATGTGTCTGGGTTACAGGCCAATCAGCTGGAAGCATAGTACCCCACCTACTAAACATCCTCGTCTCAGTTAGCCATTGGCTGACGCATTTCACTCCTCCATGCTTATCAAAAGAGTTTACCTTTAAAGAAATAGGGCAGGACACGTGACAACTTGTGTTTATCACCGTACACCAACCAGCAGCAGCCACGGACGTTTTGTGCCAAGAGAACGGTAACAAAACATAAACAGATGCTTCTCACCTCAACTAACATCAACCTTTCAACCTGTGTATTTCTGCCACAATTACATCATCATCATCTTGATACAAAAACTGACCAGCCTAACAAAAAGATGTAAAACAAATGCATATATCCACGTTTTATATACAATGTATTCTATTTCTCAACATATTATCATGTTATGCATTATACATTATGTTATTATTATGTAAAAGTATTAATTATTTCTCTTGCATGCAGCAGAAGCAACAATAACACCTTCCTGATAAAACCAAAATGATGCACCTCATCCACACCAACTGGAATCATATTCTAAATAAAGGGATAATCACTAAATGACCATTTTCAATGAGTGAACCTGGTCGAAAAGGAAGATAAATCAAAAGAACTAAAACACACAGAAATGCCCACAAAAGGAACACCTGTAAGCAAAGCCACAAACAAGTCAGTAATTCTTTTGAACAAGCTACAGAGTTCAGAAACCGACTACGCTGTAAAGGTGCACCAGTCAACAAAGCTCTGCATAACAGGCCTGTGTGGGTGAGTGATACAAAAGAAGCCAAATTTGAAGTTTGCCAAAAAGCCCATTAGCAAGCTCTTGTGGTAAGATAACCACAAAACAAGCTTTTCTTTAAAAAAAAAATAAATAAAATTCAAAATCCAAACAATGCCCAGACTTCAAAATATCTAAATTGCAATATGATGATGACATTCCTTGGTAGAACGACTATATGTATTGTTGAAATCAAGCAAGAAGGATGGAAATACCATTGGAGAATGTCCTGCTACAGTCTTTTGAAACTATAGCGTGGGAGAAAGTTAATCTTTTAGCTGGACAATGATCTCGAACACAAGGACAAATTAACACTAGGGTGGCACATGAAAAAAGGTGAATGTCCTACAATTGACCCCATCACTGCCCAGTTGAGAAATAGTGGCATTTATTGAAAACTGAGATAGGTCAATCCCACTAAACTCTGTTCGGAGGAATGGGTCAAAGTCATATCTAGACAGCCTGTCACATACTTATGCCAAAAGACAGTTGTTGTCACAAATTATTATCATTTAGAGATTCATTAATTTTGAGCTTCAGTACCTAAAATATTATTGTACATGAATTTTAGGCTCAATGAGAGAACTAGAACGCTGAATATCATCTATAACTAAACATTTGGTAACTTTTGTTTACGGACCAATTCTCACTATTAACTAGTTGCTTATTAGCATGCATATCGGCTGTTTATTATTACTTATAAAGCACATATTCTGCATGACCATTTTTTAGATCCCTTAACCCCATACCTAAATTTAACAACTACCTATACTAACTTTTAACCAATTTAAGAGTTTATTGAGGCAAAAGTTGTTGTTAATAGTGAGAACTGATCACCAGACTAAAGTGTGACCAAACATTTTATATACAATTACAATTAAACACAAAATTAATTTGGCCTCATGTAAGTAAGGAAAGCATAAACCTTTCATTTCAGAGCCACCTGAATTCATTTAAAGATTAAATTATAACTGCAACAAGAACAGATCTTGAAATCAACATAATGGATAGGTCTATATTTCTAGGACATATTATGGACATGAATAGTTCTGTCATATGTGTCTTCAGGAGTGGATCAATCATACACGCACACAATACAGAAAGCTTGTGACTGTCAGCCATGAACTTTTAAACCAGCTCATTTTAGCCCTGTTTGCATCCGTTTTCTCATCCTGTTTGGTTGAGTTTGTTTTCTGACCAGATTTTTGGGCCATCTCTGAACAGCTACCACATATCTACTCACAGCTAAAAGATCACAGTCCATAAAGTGTGGTCTCACGTGCTCACCTGTTTGTCCATGTGTAGTTTACATGAAAAAAAAGAATCAATGCTCATTTTCAGTCTTTTTTTTTTGTTTTGTAAACATTTTTTTATTAGAATTAATTATTTTTATAATGTAATGATTATTGAAAATAATGGTCTTCAATTGTTCAGTGGAAAAATGTCAGTGGACCTAGTTATGTTTTTTTTTCTCTCTCAGAGTTCATCTTTTATGCCACATGTCTCCGGTTGAGAGTTCAACAAAAAACTGACCTTTGTCTTGCCATCTCACTTCATTGACTCATTTGTTCCCTCCAAAATTCAACTGCCATGTGAAAAACAAAATTTGCACACTTAACACCAACTGCAAAATTATAATATTATAATGCTTAAGTTAAACACATCTGTTCACAGATAAGCATCAATACATTTATTCAGCATCTGTGCAATCCACCATCAGTTCAGCCAGTTCAGTAGTTATATAGGTCATTCCTATAGGTTCCTATAGATTGTGTTTGTCTTTCTGCTCAAGCATAAAAGTTGTAGGTTTAATTCCATGTGTGGGCACCTAAAGAACTGGAGAGTAACTAAGATCACAATCCTGCCCTGTCACCATTGTGCCTTTGACAGAACGGCATGAGATTATTTCAGGGGAGGGCCCTGCATTTACTGTACTACAAGTTGCTTTGTAAGCATCTACTAAATGACAATAAACTATTAACTATTAAACTTGCTTTCTATCAAGTCACCTTTAATTATATAGCACTTTATACAATGCAGATTTGCCACAGTAATAAACAAAGAAATAAAAGAATCAGTGATGCAAATTTAAAGGGATAGTTCACCCAAAAATGAAAATTAGCCCATTATTTACTCACCCTCAAGCCATCCTAGGCGTATATGACTTCTTTCTTTCAGATGAATCCAATCGGAGTTATATTAAAAATTGTCTTTGATCTTCCAAGCTGTTTAATGGCAGTCAGCGGGTGTTGCAGTGCTTCAGTCCAAAAGAAGTGAAATAAAGCGTATCCATTTATAAGAAAAAGTGTCTCGCACGGCTCCGGGGGTGAACAAAGGCGTCCTGTAGCGAATCGATGTGTTTTTGTAAGAAAAATATTAATATTCAAAACATAATAATCACTTTAATCTAGCTTGCGCCAACAGTTGTACACGGAAGCAGCTACGGGCGGATGACGTATGAGGTCAGCGTTGCGCATGCGCCGGTGAGTATCGGGAAAACCAACGTTTGTTAACAGGAGCAAAGGAAGCAAACTTTCCTTACTTTAGCAAAGTAAAACCAGTCTCATCTTGGCTTATATCAAAATCCTTCGAATCGACATTCTTCTTTACAAATCCTAGTTTTGTACTTATAATTCGTGACCGTTGTTTTGATCTCTTGCCTGCGCTTCCGTGTTCGTCACTTCTGAGCGGCGCATGCGCAAAGCCAACCTCATACATCATCCGCCCGGAACTGCTTCCGTTTACAACAGTGAACGCAAGCTAGATTAAAGTGATTATTACGTTTTAAATATGGTTCTTTTTATTACAAAAATGCATCATTCGCTACAGGAGGCCTTTGTTCATGCCCCAGAGCCGTGTGAAACACTTTTTATTATGGATGGATGTGCTTTATTTCACTTCTTTTGGACTGAAGCACTGCAACACCCGCTGACTGCCATTAAACAGCTTGGAAGATCAAAGACAATTTTTAATATAACTCCGACTGGATTCGTCTGAAAGAAGAAAGTCATATACACCTAGGATACCTTGAGGGTGAGTAATTAATGGGCTAATTTTCATTTTTGGGTGAACTAACACTTTAAGTGGGAAAATTAAATTCTGCTGTAAAGCAACCCAAGACAAGTGTCATTATTCAGCTCAAATTCATGTATTAGAGAACTTGAAATATTTTACGATTTTGAGAGAAAACATTTTTTTTCCCCTTTATTCAGTTCCATCACACAAAGGCACAATCTCAAAGCATGCAAAACAGAACAACAGCAACAACAAAAACACAAAATTAATACAAACATATATATATGTTTCATATATAAAACATGTATATGAAGTCATATATAAATAAAATAAAAATAACAGGATAAAAAAAATATATAATAACAATAATAATACATACATTAGGGCAGTTACATAATTTTGAAAAGCTTTAGAATTTGTATTGTTTTTATTAGCTTCTTATTTTGTGATCTCATATTAGAAAGGGTTTCAAAGTATATTTTAAGATCAGTGTTACAAAATGTAATATATGATGGTTTCTTTTGAATTACTTTTGACTTATGAATATAAAACTTTGCTAAGATAATTAACAGATTAATAATATAAATATGTTTATCAGAAAAAGATGGGTTTTGATAAAGTAAAATATCATGAGGTTCTAAATTAAGGGCTTTGTTTAATTTTTTTGTTATGTCTATTTTAATATCTATGTTCAATATCTTCAACAGATACATTACAAAAGGTACATTTATCACAAACACTATGAATATATCTGCTAACAACTGCATTTACAGGATAATATCTGTGAATAATTTTGTAAAGTACTTCTTTTACTTTATTAGAAATTACATATTTATATGGTAACATCCAAATGCTGCGATTTTGAGAGAAATAAAGTGGTGTGCAAATCAATCAAACGCCCCGGATCAGAGAATGAAGCAGCAAAATAAAATGCATACAAATAAATTCTGTACACTATGACAATAATTACATTAATTTTGCAAAGTTTTGATCCAGTAGGTCTTCCTAATTTGACATTTTAACCCTTGGTCACATCCTGGCTTGACCCATATTGCAGCTTTGAAGCCTTGAAAAGGAACTTTTAATTGAGAATGTGGAAATCTTCAATCTACAATTGACTGCGGAAAAAAAATAAGAAGAATTGGTCATATCAGTATAGATAATAATCCAAAACCCCATGCAGACTCTGAGCATTGACAGTTCAAAATTTAACAAACATCAGCACAGCATGTCTTGGAACAGACCTTGATTGTTATATGTTAAACCATTGTGTTTTTTAAAGGGTTTTGCAATGCATTTATTACACAACCACAAATAATTCATTTTAGCCAAGCACACTTCACCACACCCCACTTTAGATTTGATATTAATGGACATAACTTTTCCCCAAAGTTTATCATAAATCACCTTCAGGTCTGTTGTAAGCACTCCTGCCCTGATAAATATTAGTATGCTGTGAGGATGATTTCTAGCCCACAAGTGTCCACTGACAGCAGCAGCCATCCCACCCCAAAGAAAACCTTCCTATGACAGAGCTGAGCGCACAAGGGGTTAACAGATAGTTTCTGAAAGTTTGAATCTCCTCCCCCCAAACAACACCCCCTGGAATGGTCTGCCTCTTTGGTTCACATGACATGTGTGTGTATGTGTGTATGTTTGTGAGTGAGAGAGTGAGTAAAGCTTAGTGTGTGTGTTTTCTTTTTGCCATATATAGGGGCAAACTTACTTCGAGACGAGGTTGTGTGTTATAGTCTGTGATCTATCTGCAAACCTCTCGTTCTTTCTATCATTCTTTCTTCTATACCCTCGGGACTATAAGGAGCTCTGCATACTTGGCCTGCTTTAGCCAAAGTTGGAGGGAAATTATTGAGCACTTGATAGATTATTTTGTCCTGTTGATTTCGAAGATCTGTTCAGTTGCTGGCAAACATGGAAGGAATGAATGACGCTCATGATGACGGATCCTTCATGTTCACCTCAGAGTCTGTGGGAGAAGGGCATCCAGGTGATTTTCTATCTGAACTTTTACATTTAAATTTTCTAAATTTTGTAGTATGTACTATATAGATTTTGCATTCTGTACCTGGGTGCTTACGTGGAGAAAACCCCTTAAGACATGTACCTATAGACTAATTCACCTGCCTCGACAAGTCATTGGAGCATATAGAAGTGGTGAGCTGGTTTAGCAACAGTCCGTACAGAAGTAAGCTGCTTAAGCAACAGTTCAATGGGGTCCATTCACACTTTCAGTAGCAAAACTTCCACAGTACCATGTGCTTAGCTGGTATTTCATGGAGTGAAAGTGTAGTAGACAAAAATAGTCAATTAGGGGTCATGACATTTACATAGGTGTTAAATTACTGCATATCACTTTGAGGCTTTTCTCAGTTACATATTTACTATGCAATTTATTTCATAATGAACATACTGATACAGTGAATGATTTGATTATGACACCGTCCCATGGCTGTCTAGTGAGTCAATCATCGGTGCACCTGTGTGCCAACAGATTTTGCTTCAGTAGTTATTTCTGTTTCATGTGGGAACTTGCCAGACCTCACATTTCTTATCAACCATATTGCATGGTTCTCTCATGTCATGCTGCAATGCCAAAGTGCTGTAGACATTTTCATATGCTGCACTCCTGAAAAATGCTAAGTCAGTTTGATTTGCATAGTGCATTTCACAATACATATTTCAAAGCTTCTTTCAAACTTAATGACTCTTAATACGTTTTAATGACTTTTAATCTAATCCGGTCTCGTTCCTCCTAGACAAATTTTGCAACACTGCAAACTAACCTGTCTGGTTCACATTAACAAAATTTTGAGAGTCTTGCTAAACATCTCCCATAAGCACATATTTCAGCAGATCAATCAATAGGCGCGCATGTGCAAGATGCAAAAAAATCTATTCCATAATGCTCCAGACTGAAGCGATCTAATAGATTTGACTTGTTTGTCTCATATTATCACCTGAGATGTTGTTTTGGACAGCGTATTTTTTGATGTAACTCACCTAAACTGTTGCCTCAGCTAGCAGCCCAAATATAGACTGAGTGAATGATTCTGAAAGGAGAGGACCACTGGTATTGTCCTCCAGCTGCTCAGCTGGGGTTTTGCTTTGTTGGGATTACTGTGTCCTACAGGCTTACTATAAGACAGGCATTAAACTCTTAAACTGAAACTTTCTGGTGTTATAACACTAAACCCACACTTGAACCTGCATCTGAGCCATTACATAACTTTGTTTCATAATGGTGTGATTTCGTTAATAGATAAAATCTGTGACCAAATCAGTGATGCAGTTCTTGATGCACACTTGAAGCAGGACCCGGATGCCAAAGTGGCCTGTGGTGAGTGAATATTTTTAATCACAAACAAAATAACCATGTAAAGGCTTTCGGTATAAACATGACTGTCAATATATTGTTTGAAAGTTTATAGTCCAACAGCGGGTCACTTATCTTGACTCTTGTTCAGTTATAGAGTGACCATTTCTTGTACTCTTTCCATCCCTAAAGTTTAAGGGCATTTAAATGGATAACATCTCCATTTCTAACCTAGCAATGGATTATAAAATGGCAACTTTCCTTTGTCATGGGTCATTTGACTAATTAAGGTTGTTTTAATCATCAGAAACTGTTTGTAAGACTGGTATGGTACTTCTCTGTGGTGAGATCACATCTCGGGCCAACGTTGACTACCAGAAGATTGTGCGAGACACCATTAAACACATTGGTTACGACAACTCTGAAAAAGGTCAGGATCAATACATACTTTGATTTTCAGCATACCGCCTAGTACTTCAGATCTTTACTAACTCATCCACCATATACGTCCACTCTTTGCTCTTCCATCTGTTTAGGTTTTGACTATAAAACCTGCAATGTGCTGGTGGCTCTCGAGCAGCAGTCTCCTGATATAGCGCAGGGTGTCCACGTTGACAGACATGAGGAAGATATTGGAGCTGGAGACCAGGTCCGAACACAACAGATGTGTAATTTTTCTACAGAATGAATTTTTTTGAGAAATCTTTGTGCAGCTTTATCAAAAAAACAAAAACAAAAAAAAAAACACAAAGTAGTTAGTATTATTTCTGCACTATATTCCAAGTCTTCTTAAGCAGAAGTATAAGTATAAAGGCAGTGTTGTCGGTCATAACTTCTGTCGAGAAATAGCGCAGACACTGGATGAAGATGATTATCAAATGGAGTATAATTTGAAAGATTCAGTGTTCGGCTGTATTCTGAGCCGCTTCAGACAGCACACCAGTAGAGCTTCAACGGACAAAAACACAAACAATTATGTCATGTTTGACTCTTAACTTTTATAAAGAATATGGATTTGATTTTGGATTTGAGACTTTAGTCTTTGCAACTTTACAGATCTTCTTTATGCACCAAGAGCTTGTAACACTCCAAAGAGAAAGGAAAACTTGAAATCACATCATATGACCCCTTTAAAATGACATCTGATGAAGTCTGTCATATTGATGTAAATCACAGAACAAAAGAAAAATAAATCACTCTACTGCTCTAGTCGCTGATTAAGTTTTGTAGCTTGAATAAAGATTCATCTATATAGTTTATGCATATACAATTTATAGTTTATGTGAAGATTGTTTTAAGTTCACTTAAATTAAAAGTTAAAAATTATATTTTTCAGAACCTACTAAATGTTAAAAATAATGGCTTTCAATTATACTGTAACGTTGAATTGCTATAATTAATGGCTCAAATTAAGGGGAAAATGCATTTAATAGAGACATCAGTAGCAGTAATGCATTATCAAAAATACTGGTCATGGTTAATAATAGACTACTCAGTAAAAAGATGCCATTAAACACATATTTAAAATATACCATCTTTATATTGTTTCTACATTAATTTGGAGGTTCAATGTGAAATTATGACAATATAAATATATTAATATGCAGTTAATGACAATTAATTACATAAAAATGTGTGAATAATTAGTTTTTTTTATTTAAATCGATTCACAGAAAGCACTAATGTTAACCTTTTATAGATGTTGGTGTTGATAATATTAGTTCATTTTACTGCTGAATATGCATTTAAATTTAATTTCTAATTTTATAGGCCCCTCAGAAAGAGATTGGGACGGCCACCCGCCCCCTTCAAAATTTCAGTTCGATAATCCGGCCCTCAAATGAAACTAATTGAATAGCCCTGGTTTAAACCATATAAAATCTTTGCTTTTCAGGGAGATGCTGGTGTCACAGGTAGGAAGATTATTGTGGACACATATGGTGGATGGGGGGCTCATGGTGGTGGAGCATTCTCTGGAAAGGACTACACCAAGGTGGACCGCTCTGCTGCCTATGCTGCACGCTGGGTGGCTAAGTCTCTGGTGAAGGCGAAACTGTGCAGAAGAGTGTTGGTTCAGGTAAGACAAAAGTGTAGACATCTTGAATAAAAAACTGAACAATGCATAAGGTTGTGTCTAGACAAAAAAAAAACGGATCCACATTATTGACCAATTTGATCTGATATGGATTAAATCTGGAATGGATGTGCTGGTGTCTGGAGCAGGGTCATGAATATTTAATGTGTTCTGTAGGTGTCTTACGCCATTGGAGTCGCCTACCCTCTCTCAATCTCCCTTTTCACCTACGGCTCATCAGAAAAAACAGAGAAGGAGTTGCTACAGATTGTCAACAAGAACTTTGACCTCCGACCAGGTGTCATTGTTAGGTAAACAATTAATAAGATAATACGTTCTTATTATATTCTTCTACTTTAGGGAAGGAAAACAACATTTTCTGTTTTTCAGCCTTAAAAACACTGGTTAAGTTCAGTACTTTATGTGGGTGAGTTGAAAATGGAGGGAAACAATATTTACGTGGAATTTAGTTCACTAAAATAAGGGGGAATTAAGGGTTATTCTCTGCTATTACATCGGTTCAAAAGTGTCATGTAATGTTATACCCATCCAATCAGGTTTACTTTGACTAAATTAGCAGCTACTTTTAGTAGACGAAAATAACATTTTAGTCAATGAGTAAGCACAAAATAAAACTAAATTAACATTTTCTATATTAAAGTAAATATAAATATTTAATATGAACTGCAAGTGAAAACTGTCCTCTTGAAATAATGAGAATCAGAATCAGAATCAGAATCAGAAGAGCTTTATTACCAAGTATGTTTACACACACAAGGAATTTGACTTGACGACAGGAGCTTCCATTTCCTCCAGGGGGAGTATCGCTACCACCAATAGGTCTAAATCAGTGGTTCCCAACCCTGGTCCTGGAGGCACCCCAACACTGCACATTTTGCATGTCTCCTTTCTCTG